CACCCGGACTCTGACCGCAGCAGAAGCACCGTGAGTGTGTGGAGCCAGTTTATATTCTGTGTGGAGCTAAAAGAAAATAAATGTTTGGATAAAAACTACTCCATTCGTCGACTGATGTCTTCAAGCTGCAACATGTATCTTTCCATATATAGTGTATTTTATGTAAATTATTTGTAAAGTATCTGTATATTGTTAATACTAGAGAGACACGAACAGCCGGAAACAAATTCCTTGTGTGTGTCAACATACTTGGCCAATAAACCTGATTCTGAATTGTGACGGACTATATGAGCCTGAAAGGGAAAGATTGATGAAAATAGTAGGACAGGAATAGAGTCTTAAAGTAATGTTGGAATCAAAAGAAAACACTGAGCATATTTATATATAGTAAGGAAAGCATTATTTATTTATGTTCACGACACAAAATAATAATAAAAAAAAAAATTCAATGGAGGTGACTTAATGTTACTACACACTCGTGTACAGTAGGTGGCGGTATGCACCTTGAAGTTGTTGGCGAACCTCATGAATAGAAAAGAAGAAGCAGAAGAAGACGAAGAAGAAGAAAACAGAAGCATCTCGAAAATGTCGGAGTACGACAAGATCCAGAAAAGTGCCCTGAAATTTAAAGGCGTCGGTGACATGTCAGCTGGGAAAAAGTGAGTTTTCACTAATGTTTAGTTTATCAGATGAAACCCGACAACACGATGTAAAAGTCTCTCGTGACGCGAACAATTCGCCCTACAAAGCGACAGATGCTAACTGTTTGCTAACCGAAGAAAGCACGATAGTTTTTGTTTACGTTTCGGTAACTGAGACAGTACACACTGTTTGAAAGGAGAAAGTATTTATAGTAAGGAGATGGCCATTCTTAATGTTGTTATAGTTGTAATATTACGGAGTTTCAGAAAAGTGTTTACATTCTCGTATGCATAACCACTACACGTACTGGAGTATCGCTACCTTGCGCATTTAAATATCTCCAAACTGTCACTAAAATAATACAATTAAAGACAGTCTCGTACTTTGAAATAACTGTAGCATTGAAATGGAGAAATCTAGCCTCTTAGCTACAATAGTATATCGAATAAAATATTGTTTTTTATTTTGAGGGATGAGGTTCAAACCAGACTGTGCTTCTGATCAATTTAAAACAACAGTTTACATATAATAGTGGCTTATTTGTTAATGAACATTTTTAGACGTACATTGTTGGGATAAAGCGTTAAGTTACTGGCACTCATCTAAAGGAAAGTATTTCTCCCTAACAGATTAGTAAGTATTTACACACACACACACACACACACACACACACACACACACACACACACACACACACNTACACACACACACACACACACACACACACACACACACACACACACACACACACACACACACACTTTCTTGACCCTGTGAGGAACTTCCATTCATGTTTTTTAGACTTTATATCTAACCCTGACCATGTGCTCTAAAATTAACCTCACAGAAACTTACCTGACCCTAAAACTAACCTAAACCTTGGTCCTAAACATAACCCCACACCTGTAACATGTCAGGTCCCCACGATTCACTTCGGTCCCCACCTGGCTGCTTTTTTTTTTAAATTACCCCGTGCGCGCACACACACACACACACAGTTTTTCTATTTTTACATCCAATGCTGTGGTAATGTCGTTCAACAGCAAATACAGCATTTAAATACAACTATAAGCAAAAGAAACACCATTTTTAAATCTAGAAAAGCTGTTATTGTGTTGTAACAACAAACATTCAACCACTTACGACTGATTGACTTCCACTAAAAAAGAAAAAGTTTTTTAGAAGCAATATAAAACACATTCATTTGGCTCAAATCAACTGACTGCCTGTGCATTTTCTCTTTTTGCCTCTGTTGTTTTTAGGAAGAAGAAGAAGAACAAGGAGAGTAAGCATCACTTGGAGCAGGTTGTGACGAGCCAAAACGATGAGGAGGTGAAAACAAAGAAAGCTTACGTGGACAAAAGGACACCGGCTCAAATGGCTTTCGACAAGATGCAGGAAAAAAGAGTAAGCTCTGATCCCCGCCCAGTTTGTAGGGAATGTGATTGAGTTTAATAATAATAATATATTTGATAGAAAAAGCACCTTTTAAGGACACCGTACAGCAAAAAAGCAACTTACATCAGAGAACGGTTAAGTTAAATTAGGTTACTTTTTTATACTTTACTTACTATATTCATCAACATAACCAGACCCATTCACATATAATAGTGATCAAAGCTCTATAAATAAAAGCAGGACTCAAAAAAGGAGAGTAAGACTAAAATTGAATAAAATCAAACGAGAGTGTCCGTGTCATTTCAGTAACAGCAGTAAGAACAAAGCTGTTTTTTAAAACGTCTTGTTCTATATTTAGTGATTAAAAACCTCCGTCTGGAGGGAAGAAGCTGAGGAGAGGTGAAATTCATCTTTTAAAACAGAAGAGGCTATCTAAAAAATAGCATAAAAGTGAATAGTGAAAAAACAACTAACAGAGAGAGGTGGAGGGAGAAGGCAGATCTGAGAGCAGGAGGGAATGGAGATGGGTGTGTGTGTGTGTGTG